TAACCCAATGGGGGGGATTAAAAACCCACTGAAGAAATGCAGAACAGATGCTGAAAAATGCAGTGGGTGATTCTTACATGCTTATCCCATGGAGCCAATCTACCTCCAATCAGACCCGTGTGGGGCTGGCCTTCTGATTAACACAGCCAAGCCCAGTTGTAAAAGCTTTTAAGCAATATTCCCCCAGCCTTTGGTAAGGCTATTGATGCCAAAGCCTAGCTCGGCATCTATCAGGGGTACAGGCGTGGCCTTGTTATTGAGTGTTACTTTATCTGTCCATCGCCTCTGGGAACACAGCCTGAAGTCCCTTTACTTTGCCTGAAAACAAAATGCTTCCAGTTGGCTGAGCAGATTCAAGCTTCCTCTACACTTGCCTTTCACCCTAGTGGCAATAATAAACCATAGCAGTAACAGCAGCATCAGCTATAAGGATTGTCATCACTGATTACCTGTGAATTTGTTATTTACTTCTTTTTAAAATTTATTTATATATATATTTTATATAATTTTTCTTTTTTTTTTGCAATGTTTGCTTTCTTTTCTCAGGTGTAGTCTCCACAGAATTTCTACCACCAGCTCACCCATGCACCATCTCCATAGTCCCAGTTTGAATTATGGTCAGTAAATCTCCATTTGCGCATCAGTAAATGGGTAGATAAGAAGATGTGCCCAAAAATACAGGGGACTATGAAGCTGGATTTTTTACCACCTTAATCTAGCCAATTTGAGGTAACTGTCACTCTGGCGTGGAAATTTTCCCTAACCTCATTCCCAGCTGATTAAGAATGTATCTCAGTAAACAGCTGGGAATACATCTAACTAAAAAGGTTCTGTATAGCAAAAGAAAAATATCAAAAAATGAAAAATAACCAAGAGAAGATATACCTTAGTGATTGAGAGAAAATATTTGCACTCCAACTGATAAGGGACTTTTTTTTTAATATTTTATTTATTTATTTAGATAAGCACTGGGTACAGTCAGAAGCGCGGGAGGGTGACAGAATTCACCAGAGTCAGAGCTGGGAGCAGAACAGGCAGACTGACGAGGTACACTGCTGAGGGGAGCAGCGGGCATGGCGGGAGAGGTCTGCGCACCATGTGGGACCCTCGTGGGCGGCCGGAGATCGAACTGGTGCTGTAGAGGCAGCGGGCATCTTCGCAGCCCAGCGCTCAACCCCTGGGCCACCAGGGGAGGCCCAATAAAAGACTTATTTCAAAGATCTACAAAGAGCTCAAATGACTCAACAAAAATAAACAAGCCACTCAAAAAATGGGTGGAAAAGCTAAAAAGACACCTCTCCAAAGAAAAAATGCAAATGGCCAACAGGCATATGAAACATGCTCAACATCCCTTTTAATAAGGGAAAAGCAAATCAAACCCACAGAGAGATACCATCTCACATAGGAAAGAATGGCCCATATTAAAAAAAAAAAAAAATGGCAGCAAAAACTGTTGGCAAGGATATGAAGAGAAAGAAACTCAGGTCTCCCCAGTGGCACAGCATGTTGAACGCAGTGCTGTGAAGCTGTCCACAGTCTCTGTAGCGCTGGTTCAATTCCTGGCTGGCCAGGGACATACCCACATGACGTGGCAGACCTCTCCTGTCTTGCCCACTGCACTCCTCAGCAGTGTCTTCAGTCTGTCTGCTGTTCTGCTCCCTGCTCTGTCTCTGGTGAATCTTCTCACCCTGCCATGCCTCTGACCTGTACCTCAGTTCTTGTATAATAATAAATAAATCTTTAAAAAAAAAAGAAAAGAAAAAGGAACTCTCCTACACTGTTGGTGGGAATGCAAACTGGTCCAATCACTATGGAAAGGTGTGTGAGGACCCTCAAATTACTGAAAATGTAGCTACTATATGACCCAGAGATTTTACTCCTAGGAATCTACCCAAAGGACACTAAAACATTAATTTGAAAAGATACCTGCACTTCTATGTTTATTGCAGCACTATTTACAATAGCTAAGATATGGAAACAACCCAAATGCCCAAAACAGATGACTGCATCAAGAAGATGTGATATATACACAATGGAATACTATTTGGCAATCAAAAAGATTAACTCATGCCATTTGTGGCAACATGGATGGAACTGGAAGGGATTATGTTCAGTGAAATAAGTCAGAATGAAAAATAAAAGTATTGGGGAGTTTCACTTATAGGAGGAATACAGGGGAACTGAACAATGGGTCGGTGGTGGGGGGAGACAAAACTAGCAGGTTAATTATAAATCCAAGACATACAGCAGGAAAGAGGGAGGAAGAAGGGTCAAAATAGGGGAGGGAAGAGCATAAGAGACTATGGTGATAGTTTATGGGTGATGTGCTAGTGCAAGTTTTTTTTTTAAGATTTATTTATTTATACAAGAACTGGGGTACAGTCAGAGGCGTGGGAGTGTGAGAGGATTCACCAGAGACAGAGCAGGGAACAGAACAGGCAGAAGGACTGAAGACACTGCTGAGGGGAGCAGCGGGCGAGGCAGGAGAGGTCTGCCGCGCCATGTGGGTTTCTCCCTGGCTGTCTGGGAATTGAACCAGCGCTGCAGAGGCTGTGGACAGCTTCACAGGCGCTCAACCAGTTACACCACTGGGGAGGCCCGATAGTGGGAGTTTTACAGGGATTTATACCTGAGGGAAGAAATCAAATATTGTATAAAAATGAACAATGATGTTAAAAATAAAAGAACATATCTCTGCACGGGAAGTCTGTACCCCCTGTTTTGGATTACATGTTTGGAGTTCATATGTGACTGCCCTGATGTTTGAGTTCCCACCTACCCTAAGGGCCATTAGTGTGGGGTACTCCAGAGCCAACAGTAGATCACTTCTGTCTTCCTTGCTGACAAAAGTGGAAATCTTGGGGCCTTCCTGGTGGCACAAGAGGTTAAGACTCAACCTATGAGGCTGTCCGCAGCCACTGCAGCATGAGTTTGATCCCTGGCCAGGGAACTACCCACATGGTGCGGCAGACATCTCCTGTCTCAGCCGCTGCTCCCCTCAGCAGTATATTTCAGTCTGCCTGTTCTGTTCCCCACTCTGTCTCTGGTGAATCCTCTCACTCACCCATCCCCCACACCTCTGGCCTGTACTCCAATTCCCGTATGCATAAACAAATAAATCTTAAAAAAGAAAATGGGACCAATTCACATTCTGGAGATGTGAGGAAAGTGGCAATTGCCACTACAGGATTTACCATGGAGTCAGAAAATGGCTGCCCATATGAATGTAATTCTCAGGATATTTCCTGTCCTTGTATTTGATAGTTTTCCTGTGATAGAGACAAATCCCTTAGCCAGATACAGAGCACTCTGTTTGTCTTTGGCTTGTTGAAATTCTTTAGAACTGAGAAAGGAAACCTGGCCATTTTTCAAAATCCCGGGAACTGGGGGGGCTCCTCCCCAGTGGTGCAGCGGGTTTTTAAGTGCAGCACTGTGAAGCTGTCTACAGCCTCTGTAGTGAGAGTTTGATTCCCGGCAGGCCAGGGAGATACCCACATGGCGCACAGACCTCTCCTGCCTCACCTGATGCTCCCCTCAGCAGTGTCTTTGGTCCGTCTGCTTTTTGTGCTCCCCATTCTGTCTGTGGTGAATCCTCCCACCCTCCCACACCTCTGGTCTGTACCCCAGCTCCTGTATAAATAAAAAAAATAATTCTTTAAAAGAAAAATCCTGGAGGAGTTTTACGTTTTTAGGGATTGGGTCTTGTGAAAGAAAGTTATTTTGTAGCCTGTGCAATACACACTCTATTATCCTGTATTTAGAAATGCCTTGTGCTAAAAAATTTTTCTGGATTAGAAAAGAATACTTTTTTGCCTAAACTCAAATTATTTGAGGGGCAATGACTGTTCTGCTTGGTTTTACTTCTGAACACAGAGTTTCAGCATCCTTTAGGTAATAGGAATTTAACACATTTGATATAATAAATAAATGAAACCTCCAAAAAGCTCAGTGTCTCGAGTTTTACTGAATGAAGTAATTAGATGTATATCCACCCAACATCCCCATTACAAATGAATTGAGGTGGGAATGAGAGGACATGTAACTCATAGATTAACTGGATAATTCCCTAAAACTGTATTCCTGTATCTAGTTTTCTTGTCTCCCTGTGTCTTTTCACCAAACATATCTAAGCCAGTATTTGAAATCCACACTCAAACACATCATTAGCTAACACTTCACCCTTGGAGACCAGTGTGCAAGTTATAGATTTTCAGTGTTTTTATTTTTTTTTTTTTTGGAAGAAAGCTATTTAGCTTGAGTACCTAGACTGTCATTTGAGTGACTGTCAAAAGAGGAAAGATGTACACAGTTCAAAAGCAAAAAACAGAATTGAGTCTCATTTCTAAAAAAGAAAAAAGGCAGAAAAAACTTTTATAAGGGATTATTTCTCATCTCAAGTAGAAAATTCTGAGCAGAGAAAGTATAAACAAAAATGTATTTTTGAAACGGCAGAGAAAGATTTAGTCTAAAAGGTACCAATCCAGATATGCTGACCTATCAGAAATGCCCATGATAAGAAGACAATTTCAAAGCCAAATACAAAAATAAGATAGGTACCTCCTAATGCACTGAGACAGTGGTCTCATGCTCAAAATTCTTATATATAATTCACTGTGACTGTCAGAGAAAAAAGACAAGCCAGCAAACTTTCCCAACGTGAAAAGGAGATAAAATCACAAACAACGCAAAAGAATATAAAAGATCCACCCAAATGCACTGCAAAACATTAGCAATTTTGCATTTTCTGGGAGACCTCTGAAAGCTGGACTAATTTTATCCCTCTTGATAGTCCTGGTTATTAGTAGGGGTGTGTGCACATGCATGTGCATCACACAAACACAAACACACACACTTTCACACACAGAGTGCATCTGGCCCAAATCCCTGGGTCATGTGAGCATACTCCCAAAGGCAGCCTCAGAGAATATAAACGTAATTGCATTCCGTATTGATTTGCTTGTCATCTGATGTAGCCAGAATTCCTTTTAAAAGAGAAATACCTTATAGGACTAGAAGTGATATCCGGGTCACGAGCAGTCACTTGTCCAATCACGGAGTTGAGAGCAGCATTTTCATGAACTTCAAGGAGGTAAGTTGGCGAAGAGAAAACAGGAGGCTCATCAGCATCTTCAACAACAATTTTAACTGTTGCAGTATCTTTAAAGGGTCCCCTGGCGCTGAAACGTGGGTCAATGTGGACATTGGCTGCCTCTACCTTCAGTGTATAGGATTTTTTGGTCTCAAAGTCCAGAGGCTGTTAAGAAATGACAGAGATGAATGTTTCTCGCTAATGACCACAGCAGCAAGAACAAATGAGTATAATGCTGATGGATGATAGTTATGTGCATTCAAGCCCATTTGTGAGCCTTAATGGGATCACTCTCCATTCCCCCAGATTCAACCTGTAAATTTTACAGGCATTTATTGATATCTGTTTATTATACAAGCTCAGTGAATCTAATCTCCTATTGTTTTGTTTTGTTTTGCTCATTTCACTCGGAATTCACAAAATATTCACAGTCATGAATTGTGCCATCAAAATTTCACTTCAGAGTAATAATAAAATTTTACTAGTGATGGCATGACCTGCATACCAATCAGCCAGTTAATCGGTCTCTGCTGGTAGGAGATAAGGCAGCATCGAACACAATCTCTAGCTGGGAAGAATATTTTATCATTTCTGCAACAGTGTGTGAAATGTAAAGAACTAGAAATAATCATTGTTTAGTCCAAGGAGACATAATAAAGCATAATTTAGCACTAATCCCAACAAAGAGTGTTTTCTTGTTTCGCTTCCAGAACATTGCTGCTCTACTGATCATGTGGCAAAAATGGGGTTTATGATTTTTTAGGGCATTCCTAGAAGGTCTCTGTTATATGTTTTGTGATATGAAGCTGGAGGGCCTACTTGTGTTTCCACTTAGACAGAAGGGTGGTAGCTGAGACTGACAGTGTTTCCACCAACCACTTAGAAGCAATTAGAAATTACCTCATAGCACCATTCCAAACATTGTTTCTGATATATTAATATGTCTTCCCATTAAAAATTCCAGAGACTCTGGTTAATGACCTTGGAAGACAGAATTACACACAAGGGCATGGTCCCCCTTAAATAACCAGGTGCCCACCTACATCAGAACCTTTACAGTCCAATTCTCAGCAACTCAGAATACTCCAGATTCAAGGATGCAGGTCTGTCAGGTTCAAAGAGACAATCTAGATTTGCATTGCAATTTCTTATAAGAAAAAGAACTTTCAATCTGCAATGCAGATTGGAAAAAAAAAATAAGCTGGAACACAAGCTGGCATTAGTGAACTCTTTCAGAACTCCTGTACAGGCTTAAATATATATTTTTATTTCAAAATTCTGTGCTGATTTTTATATTTGAATTCATTTCAACTAGAGCTTGCATTTTTTTAAAATATTTTATAGTAAACTAGGCAGATACTTACTTCCTTGTCTATCCTGAAATTACTACCCATGAATAGACCATTCGACATCAGCATTTTCACAATTTGCCAATCACCCCTACTGTAACAATTTTGTAATTTCAAATTCTTCATACACTGGTGAGTCTAACAGATGACGCTCTGCTTAATTTTTAGCTCAGCATAATGTACTTAAACATCCTGGTGTCCTTGGTATTTTGTGAGGAAAAAATTAAGAGAAGCCATGAGTTGTGCAAAACTGACTCCCTATACATTATTCTCGAGGGCTAAAATACAGGTGCTTCTTGATGTCAACATGAGTGGAACAAGATTCCAAATTTATGAATAACAGGGAATAAAAATATAGCAAATACCTAACTGCTTCAGTTTTGAAAAGCACCTTATTGTAGCTATGGATAATAGTTAATAATAACAATAAAAATGACATTAAGAATCATTAGCCAAGGAAACTAGCTCTGGGTTATGCAGTAATTGACTCAAGTATAATTATACTATACTCCATTTCAGGCATGAGCTTTTAAATACTTTACAACTCTTAATCCTAAATTTGAGGCAGGTATTAAAGGTAGTGCTGCTCAGCAATGGGTTAAAATAAATGCAGTCCATTTTTTTCTCAAAATTAAGTTTTTGAGACTTAATATGTATGCAAAAACATGTCCAGAAAATTCCAGTTTAAGAGCATGACCACTGGAGACAGTTCCCTTTGTCACGTGGTATGTCTCGAGAATCAGACAGAAACTTAGAGTTATGCCAATGTCATGCTGGTCCGGACAGTAAGAGAAATAAGTGGCTCCCAAGAGTATGGTCCACCATCTTTCTTCTTCTATATGAACAAGTAAAGCTACTTAAAAATTTATTTGTACTATTTCATGACTATTGTTCACGAGGAACAATATTGAACAAAATACTCCTGATGAGCATGAAAGGTATTTTTTTCCTTGCAAATGTGTGTCCATGAAAGAATAAAATGTGTTGCACACATTTTTTAAGGAATGAAGACATGTTGAGATGTAAATATGGAAACTATTGTGTAGACACCGACCCTCATACACACACACAAACACACAACAACAGCAAAGTGGTTGCCAGCAAAAGGAGTTGCAAACTGTCAGCTATTGTTTGTACTATTGATGGAGATGTTTCTTTCAAAAATGAGTCATCATTTACCATCATTCTTGGACTTCTGATGTGCAATTTGGAGCACCCCATGGTAGCAGGTAGCTTGTCCTCCCTGTGCTAGAACTAGCTGGAAAACTGAAGCTACTGCCCTGTCCTTGAGTTTCCCTGAAAGTCTCCAATAAAGACTTAGGAAGTTTCAACCTATTTTGTGGAGATATTCCCTGAGGCAAGAACACAGACATGAGGAGAGTGACACAGAGGAGGATTAAAGGCCATAGGATTTGCCACCTCTGTGGGCAACTATGGTTTCTACCTCCTTTTTTTTTTTTTTTTAAGATTTATTTATTTATTTATACAAGCACTGGGTACAGTCAGAAGTGCAGGAGGGTGAGAGAATTCACCAGAGCCAGAGCGGGGAGCAGAGCAGGCAGAGTGACGAAGTACACTGCAGAAGGGAGCAGCGGGCGGCAGGAGAGGTCTGCGTGCCATGTGGGACCCTTGCCTGGCGGCCGGGGATTGAACCAGCGCTGCAGAGGCTGCGGGCAGCTTTGCAACCCAGTGCTCAACCGCTGTGCCACCGGGGAGGCCCAGCTTCTACCTTCTTATGAGCCATGGACACTATACTTCAGAATAATTTCTGCAAAGAATAGAAGCTGTTCTTCAATCTCTGTCCCTCACTGTTTGAGGACTGCCTTCAGATAGCTGGAGAGCTCTGTACAGGAATGAAGCAGCTCTCTGCAGAGGAGTAAAAAGCATCGAGACAGACCCAGGAGAAAAATACTGAATGGGATGGGAGGCTTTCACCACCATGGGAAGGGTTTACCAGTGCTTTACTGAAATTTAAGTGGGGTCAAGGAATATGAGGTGCTAAAGGACTGTACTTTTTCAAGGCTAAAAAAGCTAAACCGGGCCTCCCTGGTGGGCTAGGGGTTAAGTCTCAGCACTATCACCTCTAAAGCCTGAGTTCAATTCCCGGCCAGGAAGCTGACCCACATGGCTCAGCAGGCCTCTCCTCACTCGCCTGCTGCTCCCCTCAGCAGTGTATTTCAGTGGATCTGCCTGTTCTGCTTCCCACTCTGTCTCTGGGGGATCCATTCACCCTCACACCTCTGTGCTGCACCCCAGTTCTATGCAAATAAAGAAGCTAAAGCTCTACCAGCATCAAGATATGTCAGGGAGTTCACCCAACCTCCACAAACTTCAAAACCCAAGTTTCATCATCTTCCTTCATTTACCTTTCTTAGTCTTATAATGCCATCCTGGGCCTGGGCGTCAGAAGTGATCTCGAAGAGAGCCGTTCCGTCTCCATCAATGATGTCATAGGATGACTGTGCATTTTCACCAATATCCTGATCATTGGCCTTCACCCTCCCTATTGCAGTGCCAAGAACCACATCCTCTGGTACTGAGAAGTGATACAGACCTTAGAAGAGAGCAGACACCCTGAGAATCGCACATATTCCATTCTTCCATTAATTCATTTAGCAAAAAATTTATTAGATACTTTATTTTTATTGAGAATGGGTTATCAATTAATTTTTTCCTTGTTATTCATTTTGGATGGTTGGAAAACTTTTTTTCCTTCTTTCACACATACATTTTTTAATTTCATTTTTTTGGTGAAATACCATTGTACGTGTTAACATTTTGACAATATAAGCTTTATCCTCAGGTGTGGTCACCTTAGCTCCCCCACCACCAAAGCACCCATAGTCCTCCACCACAGTCCCTTGTGGACAGCTTCTTTGTGCTGGGTTTTCCTGCAGAGGCTACCAACATAGCAATGGGAAAGATAAAAATATCCCTTTTACTGTAGAATATACATTTTTTTTTAATGAGTCAGAGACAAATAGTTCCCAGAAGTAGTGATCTCTCGTCAAGACTATGGAATTTATTCAACCATATGTTTACCAAGTATAAATTTGGAGCAGTTATATCAGGGTATCTGCGAGCCCATAAGAATGTTCTTTCCAATTTGCTGTATAATCACTTTGGCAGCCCATGGGGATATTCATTGTTGCCCAACATAAAATATTAAGCTAATTTCAGCACAGAAAGATGCAATGTATAACATACTGAAAGTCACATTTGAAGTTACCTTTATATTTACAGACTTGTGGACCATTTTTGATAAAATCCAATTACTAAGCTTCTGCTGTGCCCTGCAGCAAGCTGTTCACACACATGAAACACTCCTCTTGTTACTAAAGCCCTCAATGCTCTGAAGACCAAAATCCTACCTTCAAAACTCTCTAGGCAAAATGCAATTACAGTGTAAGCCCATTCTCCTATGGGGGCAGTAAAAAAGTGTCTAATTAATGACATCAGTCCCATTGTTATTCACAAAGCTCACTTGTTGTATTGGTGTCACCCATTTTCACTGGTATAGAAGAAGTTGTTGGTACCCCAACCATTACCCTGGCATTATCTTTTCAGGGTACAGCTACCCAAGAAATCACTGACAATTTCTGCATTTATTTGCCTGAAGGTTTCTCTGGTGCCAGAACCCATTTTGTCCACTGCCTGTCAGAACTGTGGGAGAGTTAATGGCCCCACAGAAGCAGCCAATGAAGACTCAAGAGTTAGCATATCACAAGAGTTAGCATATCAAATTCCAGGCTCCTCCTCCTTTTAGTAGAGTAGCATTGCATTAGCTCTTTTCTTGTGTTTATTTACAGTGTTCCAGAATTTCCCCTCAGTGGTAGCTGTCTTGATAATATACATTATTGGCTCTCTTCCTTCTCTCTCACACCCTCACTTCCCTATAGGTATTCCTTGGGATCATCTCCAAGATAAACTACTTACAATCAAATTCATGTCTTAGTCAGTGCCTGTTTCTGGGGAACCCAAACTCAGACAACCAGGAGGTTTATTCCCATTGCAACAAAAACAAGAGGAAACTAAACATTCAGTGAACGATAAACTCAAAAGGAAAAATTAAATCTGAAGAATGTTATCCAATTGTAGTTTGAACTCAGACACTGAGTCCCTTTGATAAACTACAGCTCATTTTACCCAAAATAACAAGATGATTTCAGATGATGGATAAAGAATACTTCTAATACTAATATACTTCTATTTAATGATGAAATCAAGTTGTCTTTACAAATACCAGATGGTGTCACTTAGATGTGGAATCTAGAGGAAACCAAACAAAGGGTTAGATAAAGCCAAACTCAAAAACTAACTCTTGAAAACTGACTATAGAACTGATAAAACAGGGTGTTCCCAAGGAAAAGGGGAGATTCCAGATTTCCTGGCCCACCTAAGGAAGGGCGGGGATGAGCAGGGAGAAGCAGCTGCAGAGGAGACTGAGAAGGAAGGAAGCAGGATGGAACCAGAAGGAGACCTGGAGGAGGCACATGGGCCGAGAGACACGTGAAGAAAGCATGTTTGCCTTTTGGTCGTGGACTGGGTGACACAGATGTGGGTGAGAAACCCGTGGGGAGGTGACCATGGTGGTTTTTATCTTGATTTTGATTTTGCTCTTTTCCTTCCAGACTTGTCTGGTTGTTTCTGATCCTTTTCTGTGAGTCCCCACTGGAAGATGCTTTAGACTTGTGGCAGGCTTTCAGGCCTTGCTCTGGGCCAATCCTGTTTGGGTGGACTTTTCCCCACAAGGGGATGGGTAACTTTGGGCACTTGATTTAGAAACTATATTCTTTGCCTTTCCTGTATTGTTTACTAATTGTATTAAAGTTCCTTTTCATTAAAGTCTCATATGTTTGTGCTGATGCGGCAGATGGCAGAACCTTTTTAGAGCAGGCACGTTTGCAGGGTCTGGGCTGCCCCTCTCCCTGTCCTGTAACATTTAGAGGGGGTGTGGGAAGGGAAGGAACAAGGACTAAGTGGGAAGGGGGCACAGTGGACTATGGTGGTGGACTAGGGGTGCTTTGGTAGTGGGAGCACAATGGTAACTAACCTGAAGGGAGGGATTCTATACCCTCCAAATACAAACAACAATGTCAACCCATTACTTCAACAAATAAAAATAAAACGATTTCTTAAAATCATGACATTATGTTGTTGGGGAACAAAAGCATTTTCCAAATAGGTTTGTCATACAGTAGGTGCTGAAAATCATCATGTAGAACAAAAGTCTCCCAATTCCCTCATAACTGGTATAATGATTCCATTTTCTTCAAATGTAACATTCCAGATAAGGTTTGAGGATTCCTTTAGGTATGCTTGTTAAGTAAATAAGCCAGCAAGGGCTCACACCTTGCTTCCAGTCTGCATCAGGGAGCCTTGGGAAAACAAGCAAATGGAACATTATTCTATCCATTCCTGTTCTGCCCACTGTCATCATCTCCATCACTGCGATAACAGTTCACAGCTATTACCTCTAAGAAAGGGAACACTTTTTTTAAAATTTTATTTGTTTATTTATTTATTTAGAGATTCATTTATTTATTTATACAAGCACTGGGTACAGTCAGAAGCTTGGGAATGTGAGAGAACTCACCAGAGTCAGAGTGGGGAACAGAGCAGGCAGACTGACAAAATACACTGCTGAGGGGAGCAGCGTGGCAGGAGAGGTCTGCGCGCCATGCGGGACCCTCCTCCGGTGGCCGGGGAGCAGCCGGGGATCGAACCAGCACTGCAGAGGCTGCGGACAGCCTTGCAACCCAGCGCTCAACCGCTGCGCCACCGGGGAGGCCCAAGGGAACACTTTTGAAACTCATTTGCCATTGGCAAATTGAAACAATCATTTTGTAATAAAGAAGGGATGCATATTAGAGCATTAACTGTAATTTTAACTAAAAAGGAGATATAAGAGTTGGGGAAAAGAAGAGAGAAATGGTAGTCCCCATTTCAGTAATTTTGTTTAAAAAGAACTGCATTGTTGTCTGGTTTACTGATTTATGAATGGCCAGATGTGAAAATTCTAAATGAAAATTAATCTTTTCTTTCTACCTTGATATTTCTGCAGATGAAACCTCAAAGATGCCTCAAACATGTCATTTTCAAGCCCATCTCTCTCATCTTCTCCCTTTCTCTTCCTTTCCTCTCTCTATGTTCATCTTTTCTCTCCTTTCCCTCTCTCTCTTTTTCTCTCTCTCCCTACCCCCTCTTTTTTCTTTCTTTTTATAATAAAGTAAAAATCAAAATCAACAAGGAACTATAAACCAGAGACACAATACAGGGGGTGGGGGGTAGGAGTAGGATCAAAACATGGGGGGTGGGAATTGTATGGGGACTGTAACCAAGATGAAGATGCATACATTGTGCAAAAATGAAAAATGATGTAAAATATATAAAATTTAAAAAATTAAAAAAAAATACCCTGTGGCATTTCTTATTTCAGCAATTATCACTGCATGCATCCAATTTTTCAAGTCAGCAATATGATAACTTACCTCCTTGGCTGAAAAAATGCAATCTCTCCTTAGATTCATGTCCCCATTCACTCACGAATGTCTATCACATGTGTATACTTTTCTCCACTTCTATGGCAACCACCTTGCATGGTGGGGTGATGTTCACCTTTCACATGAATGATGGCAAAATCCCCCCCCCACCCAGCTGACTGCCATGTGGAGATGACACTGGAAGAAGACCAGGTTTCACTCCTACTACTTAACTTATAATTTATGAACCTTTAGTGACTATCCAGAGATCTTAAGATAAAGACCATGGTATTAAAAATCCAAGGATAGCTAAGGTCTGCCTGAATGAACTCCCCAAACTGTGTGGTCCAGCTGCCATGAAATGCCTTCATTTCTCATTCAGGTCAGTCCTTTTTGGACAACTTTTCCCCTCCAGTTGCAATGGTTTCACTTTGTTCCAGCTAATCTCCACATATCACATCTCAAATCAGGAATCTCCATATCAGAAAGATTTTCCTAAATCAGCTTCTGTATCAGATTACTTGGACAGTACCAAGCAGATGAGTGTTCTCTAAGAGTACAGGGAAGTTGGCAATTAATGATTGACTCCCTGATTCATTGATGGCAGCTGCTGAGAACACAGTCCACAGGTTTCTGAGTCAGAGCAAGGGCTTCAGGAGGGACTGGGAGTCAGTGAGCATTGATGTATCCCTCCTCCTGCCCCTCCCAGGAGGGAGGAGCACATGTTTTGCAGTAAGCGTGCGACATATCTGCACTTCAGACACAGAAGATCTAGTTTCTTTTATCCACCAAGTGGGATGATTGACAGAGCAATGTCTGCACTGCGTTTTAATCATTGTCTCAAGTTTTCTTCATGGGAGGTACCATAGAATAGAGAAATCGGCATGTGACTGGCAGCCAGACAAGCTCATTCTCAATTCCACTCATTAACTGCAAGCTTGATATTTGAAAATTGCCTGAACATCTTGGAAATCTGTAAAATGGAGATGCATTTAGTACTCAAATGACAGGAGGGTTGTTGTATACATTGCTACACTCCGTGTGTAATATGCCCATCATCAATGATTATGATCAAGCTTTTGGATGACACTGAAAACCAGAATATAAATTCAAATGAAATCATCACACTCAGATCCTTAGCTCTCAGAGCAGGGAATTCACTTACTTTGGGCAAATTTTGGAGGATTGTCATTCACGTCGGTAAGGGTCACCGTGAGTGTCGTGGTCCCAGACAGGCCACCAGAATGCCCTCCCATATCTTTGGCTTGGATAACGACCAGATACTCCTCCTTGGCTTCTCTGTCCATGTTCGGAAGGGCAGTTTTTATAATTGCTGAGGGGGAGAAATACGAGAACGTCTTTTAGGCTGGTAGCTCATTCAGCAATCATGATGTGAATCGCAAACACACACACACACACACACACACACACACACGCGCGCATACATCACGTCTCCACTCAGATAATTTTCTGTTTTACTTTGACACTTAACTAGTGTGCATCTGTGATGCCAACTCTGAGAAAGATTTTTGTCACAGACATTAACTGATAACTTGCAAAATTACTTTTTATAATGTATCAAAATGAACATGCAAAAATATACATTAGAAAGTAAACTGAATGGCATACTCTTGTTTACAAAATTAAAGTATAAAGCATAACACAGCCGCACCTACCCAGGAAAACCCTGGAAGTGAAAGAATCTTACAATTTATCACCTACTCCCATGCCCCATCAAGAGGAGTAAATACAGAAATAGCTTGAAGGCGCTGAGGTCAAAGACAAATTATTCTGAAGTTCACAAATACATTAGAGGAAAGAAAGAAATGCATTATTAGAATCAACTCAGATGAATAAAACACCAATCAGAATTAATATAGTCAAGCGTCTTAAATCCTAAGTTACTATTCAACTATATTTGTCCTTTAATTATTTAGTGATTTTTTTTCCATTGTAAATGTAGTAAAAATTTAGAAAAATTGGAAAATATAGAAAAGGGGGGATAACACATATGACCGTACAAAAGAACATGAAATTGTTAGTGCTAAAATGTTGTTTTATGTTGCCATATTTTCGAGATTTTTACCTGTCTTTGTTTCACGAGTAATTTAATATTCTTGTTAAAGATTCAAGATTTGCTTAGATACTCCTGAAGTTATTTTGAAAATCTTCTTTTAATCCTTTCCCTATCTTCACCCCACTTTTCATAGACACATATTAGTAACAATTAGAAGTGCGCATAATACCCAGGCCACACAAATATGCATGAACTAAGCAAATAAAATTCAACCACAGGGGCCTTCCTGGTGGCACAAGGGGTTAAGCATCAGTACTCCGAAGCTATCTGCAGCCTCTGCAACATGAGTTCGATCCCCAACCAAGGAGCTTCCCAAATGGTGCAGCACACCTCTCTTGTCTCTCCTGCTGCTCCCCTCAGTAGTGTATTTGAGTCAATCCACCTGTTCTGTTCCCCACTCTGTCTCTGGTGAATCCTCTCACCCCCTGCACCTCTGGCCTACACCCCAGCTCTTGTTTGCATAAATAATCTTTTTTTTTTTTTTTAAAGAAATTCAACCACAAATATAATCATTATAGAAGCATTGTTCTAGGACTTTCTTTTCTCACACAATGGATATCTTTGAGATCTTGATAGCACAGAGAGAGGTTCAACTTTACAATACTTCCTATAGCTGCATAAATGTTCATTTATGAATGTATAATGAGTTAACAGGCATTTTCCTAGCAATGAATAGGGTAGTCCCTTAAGATTTTCACTTCAAACAACTATCAGATATTTTATTATGATGACACTCTATTTTTCTGAATATTGCATTTTTAATAAACTCTATATCCTCAGATGCCCCAACCCCATATTTCTAAAAGACTGTTAATAAAAAAATAAATTGTAATGCTACATCTCTGGCCCAAATAAAAGCCAGGATTTATACTGACAGTATAAACCATTGTTGCATCTAATAAATAAATAAGCAAATAATACCAAAACAAAAATATTCTTATGCATTAAAAAAAAGATCAATTCCCTCTTACTTCTCACCCCAGGGATGTTGTAAATGTTCAGTTCAAATTGAGAATGAGCCATTTTCTCAGCTACTCTGAAGTTGTAATCCGGATTTTTGGACCCATACACTCTAATTAAATCATCTATCTGTAAAAAGGTTTGCAAGTTCAAGTCCCTGAATCACTTGAGTAGCAGGTGAGGCGCAAGAGTGCCCAGAGAAATCTAATCCACGCAGGGAGGAAGCCGTGTCTGGGAAGAGCTGTGAGTTCTTATGCAATTTATTAGACCTTGAAACCATTTTTATATCAGAGCTTCCCATTGAGGGAGTTGGATAACCCTGCTTATTTGTAAATACTGATAGCAACATAAAACTATTTTCAATACAATGGCTTGTTTAAGGATTTGATCATGTAATAGAACTCAACAGATCATACTTAGATGGTTATAAGCAGAAACAGAAGAGAAATGGAAATATAACAATCACAGATCTGTACCATTGTGAGATGCTGTTGAGGGGAAAGTTAGCCCATGAGAAAAAACAGCAACAACAACACAAAGAAAACCTCATGATTAGCAGGATAAGATGCCAAGATGGGTCCTTTGCTATGCAAACACAGTTGATGCTCCCTAACTATTGGCTCCCCAAGCCTGGGTTCAACCAACCACAGGTCTAAAATGGACACTCTGGGGCATCCCTGGTGGTACAAGGGGTTAAGACACCACCTATGAAGCTATCCACAGCCACTGCAGCATGAGCTCAATTCCCGGCCAGGGAGCTCCCCATATGGCGCAGCAGACCTCTCATCCCCCACACCTCCGGCCTGTACCCCAGTTCTTGCATGCATGAATAAATAAATCTTTAAAAAAAATTTAAAATAAATAAAATGAAGACTATGTACTTAGACCTGCAATGAATGTGTTTGCAGTGAACATGTACAGAGTTCTTTGTTATTCCCTAGACAATGCAATATAATAACTACACATAGTATTCACATTATTTTAGGCATTATACCTAGCCTAGAGATGATTTAAGGTGTACAATTGGATGTGTGTAGCTTATGTGCAAATGGTATCAATTTTTAGGTAAGATTTAAGCATCCATAGGTTTTATGTCCATGGGGAGTCAGGAATCAATCCCCCTTGGATGCTCAGGTATTTTTCATAAACCAGAATAGACCCAATTCTAGAAGGAAAGATTAGAGAATTGCCTTAACCTAGTGATATTGACAGGAGTATTTAAAAGTTTAGATATCATGACATTCTAAGGTCAACATAAATTAAAAACATCCACTGGACTTTGGAATTGGACACAGAACCTCTGACAGTCAGAGAAAATGGATCTACATCCTCAAGGAAGGCTGTAACTTTTCTCAAAGAAATTAATGGGTTGAGGTTTACCCATGAATTTTCTCAGCTTAGTTGAATGAAAGAAATTTTTACAGTTTCCTCAGAGACAGAGAAAATTGGTATGTAATATTCTCACGTATGTATGTATGTATGAATGTATATGTGTGTGTATATATTTACCATATATATAGTGGGAATATAAGTTAAGTATAAGTTGTTAAGTAGAAGTTAAAAAAAGACTGTGATATCTCCCAGACACTTGAAATTGAAATAGTTTTGAGACCTAAATAAAAATAGCATATCTGAGAATGTCTATTTGTGTGTGTAATGTCTGTGTGTGTTGTATCAGAGTCTGAGTGAAATATCATGCTGTAGAGCTTTACTGACCAAACAAGACAAGAACTGTGTGGGTTTCAAGAAAGCCACTACAGAAAGTTTATGCCATCACTATATAGATACACAACTTCACACAATCTACGACTATGTGACGGACACAATCAGGTGCCTGGATAAATGCTCCATCATACTGACATCATTCAACTTTGGTGTTTCATGTTATTCGTACACTTACTAGCTCTGTGACTGACATTAATAATTTATTCAACCCATCAGGGCTCAATATTCAAACAGAGATAATAATTAGCCTCTCATTGTGGGTACTCCTAAGATTATGTGAGCTCATTCATGCAACATTCTTTGCAAGCACACAGTAGCTACCCAACTCTGCTGTTTATCTTTCCCTTTTGCCTTTCCCATCACAAGTTATTTAGTGTTAATCTGGGTGGAAGTTAGAGTGATATTCTCCAACTCCTCCTCCAGACCCACTCTCCCCCATTCTCCACCTGCTCTTGGTATGGGAAGGTGGCCATTGTGGACTGCTCAAAGAACTGTTCTACTTTTGCACTCTAGGAGATTATAAGAATGGACAAGGGTAAGATGCCTCAAACATCTCAATCACAAGATTAGCCATTCTATGTTTATTATCATGGGGCATTGCTCCAGCAAACCTTTAATATCCAGTACCTGCACCATTCCTTGCTCCTTAAGGTCTAGGGGTGATGGTGGTACTGCTGTTGCTAATCTCAGGGTGCTTCACTATCCCTTGATTCACAGTCTTAACCTGGTCATACTTTGGTCAATATTCCCTTCATTAAAAGCTCCTCAATCACCCCATTCCTGCCAGGACCCTAGAAGATATGGTTAGGATACTGACGTTAAACATGTTTCCAGCATGTTCTTACACAGACATCTACAGGTCAAACACACTTCAATAAAAAAAAAACATGTACCAGTTGAATCACTTCTTGAGACTCAGAGCAGGTTCTGATATCCTTACCTGTAAAATGAGAACGTAGTAATGCCTACTCCAGGCAAGTGTGTTGCTCAAGATGACCCAGCTGGGAAGTTGCACATCTGGGAGTCAATGCATTTCCTCTTTTTATACAATATTCGAGCACGTTTCCTGAGTTCTAAGTTAAGCAGGGAGCCTCTCCAAGATTTCTTTAGGGCATGCAGCACTTAATTGGCTTCAGTACAAACTGTATAATGAACAACTTCTGCTTTTCCTGAGCCTACTGCCTCTAGTCTCAACCTCACAACTAGCAGCAACTCATTAGAAAATCCAAGATAGAATTTCTGGAACATTTTTCCTGCAACCTTGCAGCTAGAAAGGCAGAATAGGAAAAACCACAAATGCCCTTGACCTTTCCATTTTTTTTTCTTTGTGTTGGGGCATATCTATACATGTTACTTGACTTTTTAAAATTCCTATTCCAAAGGCAGATCATTTCACTTGCATAGATACTGCAAGCTGTTGATAAACGCCTAAAATAGAAGCTTAAAAACTGCCTTAAAAGTTCTTTCTACTTCTCCCCTGAATTTGGCTCACATATTCTCCCAAGCACTAGTAGCTCCAGGCTTTTTTGTTTTTTTCCTTTTTGTAGATAAGAGAGAACCTCTATATTTAA